GACTTCATTCAATGAACGTTTTATGGCCGCTGATAATACCTGAAGTCTTATTCAGGGTCACCCTGTATTTGCCTCATGGACAAGTCCCAGCCAGGTGAGTTAACGGTGTTTTTCTGTTACCGCGGTTAAGTAACGGACTCCTCCGCGGGTTTCTTCGTCGTAATTTCTCATCTTCCACGGTAGACTAGGCGAATAACCTGTGTCTATCATTATTATGTAATACCGTGATAAAAGAAAGAAAAAAACCGTAGAGAAAAATTCTTGAGTCACAGAAATTCTTCAGCATTTTTCCATTATGCAATTTTCATCCATTACTCATAACCGTTTCAATGAAACAAAATTAGAAATTATTTCTTTTAGTGAGAGGAAATTTGAGTAACCAATTTTTTGTTGAAATGAGATGAAAATTGTTTCTTTTTAGTGACGAAAATATTTTCGAAATCGACGGGTTGCGAAAAAAATGCGAAATCAATACGAAATTAAAAAATGCTTGAATAATCCTGGGATGAATTTGATAATGAATTATGTTGTGGAATTTCGTTAGTTATGTCTGAAGTAACTTTTTATTGGACATTTCCCCCGCTGTAAAAAGGACTCTTGATATATTTTTTAAAAATCCTTCATTCCCCAGATATTCTTGTCATTATAAAATAACCATGTCTTTCTCAAGTAAAACTTTCTAAAAATTTTCCTTTGGAACTTGGAAAATAAACAACTGGAAGTGATCGACGGATTCCCTCTCATAATCCTCCATTCGTAAACAAAATTAATTCCTCCAATGGACTCTCGTCCCTTCGTTTTGTACCCATGCATACCAATGCCCGAGAAGATCAACGACCTTCCCCGTTTCCACTCGAAAAAACGAACGGTACCTCTGATTTTTTTTCTTCACGAATCACTGACTTTTCCTCGACTCTTTCACGTCCCAGGAGATTTTTTTTTTCCTCAAACCAAGTCTGTCTCCTACGCATGACGCTTATTTTTTTTCTCTCGGAGGTAATCAATAGCTCTAGACGATACACGCTCATGTTCTTTACGGACGGATTAAATACACAACGTGTCGAACGGTATCTGTGTCATTCGAGACTATTCAGGACTTTGCAAAAATAAAACGAAAGATAAAAGAATGATGGAAATCTTCTTGTTCTCTTTACGTAATTAAACCGCAGATTATCATGGATTGTGCGAAGTTTTTGGGGCTTCACCTGTTGCCTCATAGAATGATCTCGACGAATTAGATTAAACAAGAGCCAATGACAATTCTGAAAGCTACAGAAAAATTCTGATAATAGTTTCCACAAATGTTAATACATTGTTAAAATTTTTTGATTGCGATTCCATCCAGTATACTTCGTAAAAAAATTTATCGACTGCAGTTATGCTAAAATTTCAAAGAATTTCATAATTGGAAATTTACGATTCAATTCCAAACATCAGTGGAACCTGTAAATTTGAAGTCAGTTATTTCATTAAAAATTAATAGAAATCAGGAAAAATCAGGTCAATATATTCTTGAATTTCCAATTGATAGGAAAATCAACGTGTTTTTGTTCAAAATATTTAGGTTTTGATTCATGATGTCTTTTTGGTGACACGACTTATCAATGGAACGATATTTCAACTGCGACATTGAAACTAAATTTTTTAATTACGACATTTCAACTGAAATTTATAACTGACAATATGGTAGATTATCTCCGTGGTATCGCCCAATGCATTCCAATATAGGTTGGAATTGACGAAGATTTGATATTTCTAAATAATAATAATGTATTATGGTGTATAGCCATTTATTATCGTTCATTTGTTCATTATATGTATTATGATTGATGTTATTAATGTTGATCGATGATGTTTTACACCCGCGAGTATCGGTTGATTAATTTAATTTGGGCTTATTGATTGTTTAGTTCAAGTATTTATGGTTTTTTTTAGGTTCAAGCAATAAATGTAGGATTGTGTTCACCGCTATATTATTGTTAATTTTTTGTCCGTAAGTAGTTGTTTAAAACCTAGCTCCAGTGTCGTAGTTAAAAAATCCCAGTTGAAATGTCGCAGTTGAAATGTCGTTCAGTTGATAACTGGTGGAACCTTTTTTTTTTACACTAAATCGAATTCAATGTCGCATCCTTCCAATTACTACTAAACTGTCCATGCAATTTCAAATTTTTTCCAACTGCGTACCTGCTGAGATTATTTAATAATTAGAAATTCTTGCAGTAATCAGGTTAATTGAACTATCTTTGGTTTAATTGCGTCACTATCCCATTAATAAATGCTTTTAGACCTAGAGAGCTTTTTCATACATCTTGGAATTTTCTTTAAAAAATCTACTGACAATTTCTCCTAACAACTGTAAAATAAATGTCAAAGTATCTTTATGATGTCATATCCTTCCTCTCTTTCTCTCCTTTAAAGTAAATACTATTCTATGAAGTTCTGTGACCGACATTGACCATCGTGTCATGAGAAAAGACGGTGCAACAACCAGAAACAGGATATAAACCGCCTCCTGAGGGGTTTTTGTAGGTTTCCGAGAATTTTCAATATCCCAACGCATCGAGTGCGGGGTAAAAGGTCGCTATGACTCAAGAATTTTCCTGGACACTTAACATTTAATTGAATCCACGATTCATCAATAATCCTGGATATTCATAATTGAAGAGACTATAAAATTTCATAATTAGTCGATTGAAATTCTAAATGTCGTTGTAGCAATAACAGAAAAATATCTTCGTTTGGTCTTTATTCATCAAATTTCATTGTAAATCATTAAATTTCCCATTATGAGATGAATAGCAGCGTTATTTTGATTATATTAGTACAACAATTTTTCAAATGTCTCGGAAACTTGCAGGTTTCCATGAAAATCTCCGGAGACCTAATTATGACCCCAGTTTATGTTCAACCCGTTTTCCAGATTAATCCCAAAAAACTTTTGATCAAAAACTGTAAAACAAGATTAGGAGAAAAAAAATTATGTAAGAATTCTTTCACTTTCGTGGGAAAGACGTTTCCTTCCAATTCCACATCTTAACAATTCGAAATGAATATTTGATTTGCCTCTAGGGTCGATACCCGAAACGCATCGTTGATCTTGAGGGTCTGGACATAACTTAGTCACGACTCGGTGAATTCCACCATCTTACGTAGGAACATAAAGATTACGTTGTATCAAAGGCAATCCAATGTAACTTATTCTATATGTATACAGCCATCATCACAATGGTAAACTTGCGAATGAGACGATGATTTAAGTCTGCATTCGTTCGTACATATTCCGCCATTCTTGAACGGTCGCGACCCAATCCAAGGCCGTGACGGAACACGCCTATGGTTGTTGGTGGATGAAGTGACCTCGAGAGTACCGTCACACTGTCTGCAAGTGCTTGTTAATGAAACCGATAATTTATTGCTTGTTTTTTTCCTTTCTTTTTAAATTGGTGGAATTTAATTCGGTTAATGTATTCGACCATTGTAAAGTTAAATTGTTCGGTCACTTCCATTAATTTCAGATTCAATCTAACTTTGCATCAGAATAAAAAGTTGAAGAGATTTTTAAAAAACACAGTAATAGAGATGGCAAAAAAGGGCGACAAATATAGAAAAAAAGGATCTGGTGATTATTTCGTAAACGAGTGAAAATAGTGATATAGTAATTTTTTGCTAGTAAATTTTGTAATCTATTAAAAAATCTCTTGTAATTTCCTGAATGGATAATAAGGGGCTTTAAGATTAAATGCCAAAAGACGTTTTTGTAGATATTGAAATTCTAGTCTAGTATCTATAAAAAGCATTTTCTGATATTTTCCCCTAAAATCGCAGATCACGTCTGCTCCCAAGCATCAGTTACACATAACTCATTCAATATCTCTAGAAAGGGCCCTTTTTTCGGACGAATTATCAAAATTCAAAGGACTTCTTTTTACCTAAAGTTTCTTTCCCCACTAAAAGCTTTCTCCATATTTTTCCGCACCTCAGCGCATTCTCAAAATATTCATGAAATGAACAAAACAGAATTGAATGTTTTCATTCGTCTGATGAGATAATGATCTTCGACGGTTTTGTTTTAGTATCGAAATGCTGATAAGCACTTAGTAATTTGGCTGGATACAGCACACGTTAACTGGTGTCCAAACGACCCTGGTTCACCGAACTCAATTCTACCGTTACTGGTCAATTAAAGTGCCCCGAGTTACCGTAGAACACTGACTCAGTTGGGTAAAACGGCAAAAGAAGCTACCCAACTACATGTCCGGTGAATGTCCGCATTAAAGGTCACTGACCTCGTCTGAGAGGACATGAACATATCAATTAAACCCCAATTGTAATCAAGAGTCTTTATCATCTCCCCCTGTAATGAATTTCACCCCCAAAATAACATCGGTAGTAGAGCGATAAACGGATTTTTCTGATATTGTCGATAACTGTGTAATTATCTCAGAAATATGTAATTTTATGAAATTTCCAACAAAAAATGTCTTTCCATAGTCTCTCAGAGGATCGAATAAAAGTCTTTATTTAAAATTTTGCTATTCATTCCAAACATTGATTTGATCCAAGTAAACTATCATTACAATTTATTAACCATCAGTTATCTAAACAATGATTTTATTCCTAGCGCAGAATGTCTTTTTTTGGATCAGGGAAACATTCGTTTCCATTACAAAAATATTTATTTGTTTGAATAAAAATGCAAATAAAAATCAACATTCAGTTTCAATGAATGCTTCATGACGATCTACTCCAATATACCCAGTTATCTGATTCAAATAAATGATTTCTCTAGGTACATAAACCTTCCTTGATCCTCAAACTTCGCATTTATCTCGAAAGTAAGTGGTTCTAGGAGAAAATATAAGCTGAGATTGCTTATCACCGAGATAATTAGATATTTAGCAAGATTACAAATCTTCGATTTTCATAATTTCATTATTACATGTTAAAATCGTTGCATTCGACCTGCAATTAATTTCCATTCTTGATTTTTTACATTACAGCAATTGTTCAGGAGTCAACCGCAAGCTGCAACACCCCAACAGCTCCAGATACTCCAGCAACAGCAGCAACAACAATATTTGGCAGCATCGCAAGCATCACAGACCCAACAACAACAGCAACAGCAAAATTTTCCAACAGCTCCGTACACTGTTATCAGCGGCCAGGAGCCTTATGTCGGTGCACTCATCGCTGGTGCCCCACCAGTGGTACCCCAGTATTATGGAGTTGGTCCATGGGTCTATCCAGCTGGACTACTACCACAGGCACCACCACAAGCAGCAGCACCACCACCCAGGAGACCACTTACACCGTCCTCTGCAGCAGCAGCAGCTGCTGCACAAGATAGTGCTAACAATCTTGCACAAACGGTACAACAGTTTTTTCATTCATTATTTTTATTCAACAACAATTTAGAATTTGACATTTCAACGCGTTATGCTGTCTCATTACGTGGATTTTCTTTTTAACTCCTCAAGTATGGTGTCCTCATCGGCCGGCGGCCTCCCGTCTACTCGAATTCACTATTTAATACGCAACAATTTCTACACTGATGATCAAAAAATTATCATCTGAAACTTAAAATAATCTGGAGCTTTCACCAATAAGTTGTTCATTTACGGTATTCCTTTATACAGATTTTTCTGGAATTTTTAAAACCAATCTCAGTTCGATAGTACAAATGGTTGCCAACATCGGCGATTGTTGGAAATTCAGTAGCGAAGCGGTAAACCGGGTTAAGTCGATTTTTACTTTTAGCCAGTTTTTGATCAATATTTCGGAATCGAAGAGAGAGAAAAATTGTTCTCATGTCCTTTTTTATAATCCTCAATTGATTCTACAAAAAAGGTCATGGCAAAAATTTTCCTATCTTTTTTAAATTCCGAGATATTCGTCAAAAACTGGCCAATAGTAAAAAAAACTTGACCCGGTTTACCGCTTCGCTACTGAATTGGTGAATGACAAATCAGTAATTAATTGAATCGAAATTTGGTTTGCGCCATTCAATAAAGGAATGTATAGAGTATGTTCGGTAAAAATTTCAGAATGTTTTATGAAAATTAGCTCGATAAACGACAGGTTTGAATATGCATCCCACATCGAATTCAGTTCCGTGTTGTTTATGTATTGAAGAGAAATATTAAAAATAACTTGAAAAAAAATCGAGTCGCATTGTGTTGATAATTTGATCCATTTTATCGAATTTTTTTTATAATTTCGATATCTACAATAGTACGAAAGATAATGAATTTTTATTAATCACGAAACGGATCTATATGACATATATAAGGACAAGCTCTTGGGTCTATATGTGGCATGGACGCCGTACTTGAGGGGTTAATCGAGAGGAGAAAAAAAATTCTAAGAATGTTCATTCGAAATCGCAAGCACTCAAAAAGATTTCCCTTTTTTCGACTGATACACAAAGTCATCTCCTTTATGTTGATAGAAATTTACACCCACTGATTAAAATAGACAATATGCATCGCATGTAGGCGTCAGCATGAGGTTTTATCGGGATTAAAGTTTTAAATATCTGCATTATTTGCGCGGGCACCTCAAGTTTCCCCTTGACCATTCGATTTTGTAAATTTTTTCACATCGCCCTTTACTTTTATTTTTATTTTTAGAGTCTTCTAGCAGGCGAATTATGAATTCCGAAATAAATCCCATAAGAGCCCGTATATAAGAAAAACTTTGTTTATTCGACTTCGTCAAAGCTGCTGCGAATAATTTTTCGTATTTATCAGAGATCTTGGTTTCATAGGTGCCCCCATGAGTCTGGAAAAGGACAGAATTTATCTTCAACATGAAAATATTCGAATTTTGAAAAATGGATAAACATCCTTAAGAAGCAATGGAACTTACCATCGGAGTAGAAATTGGATGGAAACTTGGAGTCGTCCAAGTTATTACGTGGACAACTTTTTAGCAAAACTCAAATTCTTATATTATAGTTACCAGGATTATTGATGATGTAAGAATTTGGGTTTTTGCTGAATAGTCGTCTGACGACGAATAAATTTGGGATCCAGTTTCTAGTCCGATGGTAAGTTCCGTTGCCTCTTAAGTGAAATTTTTGGTCATAAATGAAATTATTCTCAAGAAAAGGACTCTTGATATTTTTTTACTAACAGCACTCATGAAATAAATGACTTACTCATCAATAATCGTTCTACTTCACTCCTTCATTAATCCACTGAATTTAATTTCTGCTCTATAACAACTGAAAAATTCTAAAGACGCTGAATTTTCCTTTTCAATTACTTTATGTTCTTCACATCTAATTGATTCCACTGCCTCCTTGGAAACCTATTAACGTTCTACATTCAATAAGAAATTTATCATGTTCTTTCAGAAAAGATTGTAATGGTTTTTTGTTAGTTTTCCGAAGCAGTTCCTGAGAAAATCACTTTATTAATTGTTCTCTCTTCATCGACTTAGTCCTCATTAAGATTATCCATTGTTTTTTCAAGGTTCAAGGACAGTATCAAGTAATTCCAGCATATTACGATCAAAATGGATCAATAGTGATGGGTGGTGTGCGTGGATTAGGATCAGCAGCAACTCCAATGAGACTCGTCAGTCCAGCACCAGTTCTAGTGAATCGAGCACCATCGCAACCACCCCCAGGGCCACCAGCACCACCTCCACCAAGCTTATATTCTCAACCGACCCCAACATCACACAGTAATGCTACACCAGGCGAATGTTTAGGTAAAACCATGGAAAAATCATTGATATCATGTCATTCTCATATTCATGATCTGATTAATATCATCGTCACTCTCGCCTGTCTGTAATAATGCCTTGAATGACTTTTGTGACTAATTTAACATTCTAACCATTTCAAACATTGAATCAGTCAGTAAAATCAATTATTTGCTAGAGTTGAAGAAATTTGTTTTGTAAGGATTATACAGAGGGATTGAGAGAAATTTTTGGCGAGAGAAAGATTAATTTCAACAAAGTCAGGGGACAAACTGGCAAATGAAGGATTTTAGAAGAAAATACGGGACCTTAGAACTCAACGTCGAATCTTTTATTGCCGAAATGATCAAATAATGAACAAAAAAATTGATAAAATATGCAGACTTGGTTGACAATGCTTATGCGCAAGTGTAAACGCTCAAACAAATTCTGATTCTTTTCAACTGACAGGCAAAGTTATCTCCTTCATGTTTATAAAAATTCGAATCTACCAACCGGAGTTGATTATCTAGTCTAGAAATAAAATTGACAATATGCACCGAATGTAAGCGTTAGCATGATGTTGCATGGGAGTTAACGTTTTAAATATCTGCATTGTTTACCTAGATACTCCAGGTTTTTCCTTTACTTTCGGATTCAGTACATTTCTTCACGTTGCCTTTTTTTTAAATATTGAGCAATGTTTGTTCAATGTATTCCTCCATCAGTGAACAAAATTACAGAATTTTTCCGAAACATGAGGAAATTAAATTCTCGAAAAATAAATAAACATACTTAATGATACTTTCATCTCGTTAATAAAGCAAAAATTCATTTTTGTGGCTCGTAGAATTCTCTATACAAGACGTACATTGACATTTTTTCTCAAATCCATACATTACCGAAATAATGCTCATTGATCATTGTTGAAAACTCCCTCCATTACCAAAAATATTTTTCCCCAAGCTTTGCAACTAAAATTTTAATTAACAAACGTCATTGAGTGGCTTTTAAAAAATCCGATTAGTGAAAGTACAAAGACAAAAGAAATGGAAGAAAATCGCGAATGGGTTGTGGGCTTTTCGATGCAGGTCTGGCAGCTTGCAGTGCGGCAGCAGTGGTTGCACAGGCACAGGCAGTTGCCGTGCAACAGGCACAACAACAGGGCTCAGGACTTGCCGCTGGCCTGGCTGCTCTCGGTTACGGTGGTTCACCACTGGGTGCCCTCGGTTCCCCAGCTCAGCTTCAGAGCACAGGTATTACTCATTAACCGAATGACAAAGAAATGCCTCATTACGTAATTCTGTAGTTGAGTGGTTAAACGTTATTAAATTGAATATTCCTTCTCGATCAATTGATAATCTTGGCAATGAGTGATCGTAGGATAAACTACACTGTTCACAATTTTTTACTAAAATTACCAATACCGTTTTTGGACATTTTCATCAAGTCACAGTTCTAGTGGAATTTTAATTTATTTCGTCAATAAAAATTCTGAAAAATGCGTGTAAATATATCAATTCGAAATCATGAAAATGCATGTAAATATATTCTTGAATTTTCAATCAAGGCCCAGATGCGTTATCTTTCGAACGTTATCTCGATTCTTTTTCAATCTTCATAATGTAAAATATATCACAATTTCTATTGGATTTTACATCACGCAGGAGTCCCTAAAAATTATGATTGTACAATCAAAAAAGGAGAAAAAAAATGAACATTTTCAAAGAGCGTTTTTGATAAAGATTAAAAAATAAGTTGGATAAAGAGGAAATAGTGAATGGATAATTTATCATGGTCACTAACGATCTGACAGCCATTGACTACTATGACAAATGATGACCTAAAAGCGATTAGACACATCAAATTATTAATTTGCAATTTCCTTCTAATTGGGTTTATTTCCCAATATTATTCAAAAACGCTCTTTGAAAATGTTCAGCCTTTTTTCAACGTTTTTTTTTATTGTACAATCATAATTTTTGGTGACTCCAAGGCTACTATGCAATACTGAGTAGCAATTGGAGATCATTTCAGATTATCAAAATAAAAAAAACAACCAAGATCACGTCCGAAAGATGGTCCACCCGGGCCTCACTACAAAATTCAAAATAACTTAAAGTTCCCCCCCCCCCGTTCGTTTTACCGAAAACCATGAAAAGAAACTGTCAACTGAAATTACAATTTTTTCCTAACAGTGTATCAAGAAACCTTTTTTGTGGAGAGCTTAATAATTGACAAAAAAAGTCTCTCAACTTGCTATTGGGAATTACTCGTTACTTAAAACATTCAGTAATGAAATAAATTTTTATAAAATCAAAAATGTTCGCTATTCGTGCGTCTATTTCGCATATGGGAAGTTTTAAGACGAAACGTCGGAAGACTTCTTTTGTTAAGAAATGTCTTTCGTGATTAAGCTTTAAAATCACTCATTGTTGCGATGATTAAACAATGACGCATAATTAACATGATGTGAAAAATTTGCTCATTACTCTATTTTTTCCAACTTTTTTCATTTATTTATTTGAAGATCGTTTCGTGTTTATTATTGTCAATTGTTTCGTGAAGTAAGTTTCTGTGTGTAAATAATCGTTCATCATTCATTGTCATTATTGCATGCTTGTATATTTAGTGATTCGTCCATGTAACAATTTCAATGACTTAATGGTGATAATGTCATTTGTAATAAGGAGATTTATGTCTCAGGTTTGGGTCTTGGTGCATCATCAACTGGCAGACGGGATTCATTTGATCGGAATACATCTGCCTTCAGTCCAAGTCTCGAATATAATCGTGGAAAGTGGCCTCAAAGCTATGGCGCATTAGGTAGTTAATGTCATTTAGCATTTAACTCTTTTCAGATACCAATAATCGTACCAAAGGGAGCCATAATTTTATAAATATTATTTTCAACCCACACCTTATCCTCTCCTTGTTTTAATGAAAAAATAGTAGTGAGGCGGTGAAAAATAAGAGTAGAATATTCGAAAAATTTTCAAGAGATGACTTTAAATGTTCTTTTGAAATTCGTAAGATTTGCTTATTGAATTCGATAATTATCTATTTTACAACTTGGCTATTTTGGAATTCATCTGAATATCTTGATAATGAACTGTTTCAGAATAGAATCTCAATTAACTTTTTGTTTATTCTAAGGCCTTCTATGTCTTGATATCTTTCTCTCCATTCCCTCGTCGCGATATCTTCAAAATAATGTCACCGATTTACTGCTAAATTCATGTTCGTCATATCACTAAAAACTAACTTCTGTCATTAAAAATCATTAACCAACGTATTTATCTCCATTCAACCCAGCTTCATTTATTGTTTATTTATTCATTAATCAATTCCTGCATGATTCCTTGCTGTTAGGAGGCTCGCTGGAGGCGGGTAATAATAATTAATGTCTAACAATTTTGTGTTGTCCGTGGGTTAGATCATTGAGGTAGTTCTGTAGTGAAGTGGTGAAATGTCGTTAATCAAGCATTCATCTTTTTAAGGGGAGACTACTATGAGTTTTAAAAGTCGCGGGCAATGGAAGAGAAATTTCTCATATTTTGAAGATCGATTATATATGTTTAAAAAGGAATAATTAGGGCAAAAAAATTGTTTTTCATTTTTCAAATTGTCTTTCACATTTTTCCAAAAATTTTGAAAGAAAAGAAACCTCTGCAGCTCACAAATTGGAGGCCCTGGGCTATTTTTAACATTTTAAGCGTCTGCGAGGCAAACGAACAATAAACAATATAATTTTTTTGCACTAATTATTCATTTTTAGACATATATAATCGATCTTCAATGTATAATAAATCACATTCCAATAGCCTACGACTTTTAAAACTCATAGTAATCTCCCCTTAACGAGTAAAGTTCTCAGATAATGCTGTGGGACCGTTTTTGTAACTTCAAAAAATCTCTGTAAAAAAGGTCTTCTGCTATTTTCTGGTAAACCCACTCATTGTTGAGATGATGTTATATTCAATAAATATTGCCACTTCACTGCTGATTTCATCTTTCCTTGGGAGTTGATGTGATGTTCAAGTAAAATTGTGTTGTTACTCCCGTGGTTTAGGAACTGTAACAGCCTCACCAAGTCCTCTCGGACTCTCCCTGACACCTCCACCGTCCATCGGTGGATCATTGGGCGGTTTAGTAGGTGGTGCGAATCGCGTTTCAGCTGCACCAGGTGCTGAGGCGAAATTCAGGGCGAGTACAGTTCCAGCTCTCACTGCCAATGGTGTCTTTGGATCGAGTAGTTCGTTGTTTCCAAATTTGGTTGGTAAACCAGGTAGGGGAGGAACCGCTGGAGTAGGGGACAAAGGAGCTGGGGGACGATCACGGCTATTGGAGGATTTTAGAAATAATCGGTGAGTAATTGATGGGTCTGTTTGTAGAAAAATCTAAACGAATTATTGCAATTCAAGCCCCATCTACAGCTTCCTCCTTACCGCACCATGAATGAGGAGATTCTCAATTAAACGTTTCACAAGAGCATTGAAATTATCCAACATATTCCGATTTTACTAAACATTTTTAGAAAATTACAATCGAAGACCACGTTGTCAATTTTTTATTTTATTTTTGGTTCCATATACCTCTCGGGTTTTTACATTTTGTTCCCTTCCCTATCTGCGTTACCATGGACCGACTTACTTTATCCCCAACTGCACCCCATTCGGGATTGGACTGCCAGCGAAACCATGGAAAACCTCAGTCGTGCAGCCGGCCGATAATGCAGGGATTGCACTGTGTCCATTGGTCACACTGACTCAATGGGCGCAGAGGTTCTTTACATTCGTGTCTAGCGACTGTAGTCCCACGCGGTTAGGTGTGCCTAAGCTGACACCCATCCAAGTACTGGGCAGACTGAACGCTGCTTAGCTTGGATGACCGCCGGAGCCACACACTCCCCGCGTGATCACTACAGCCACTACCACGTTTTCAATTTTTTTTGTGAATTATTTTTCAAGGCATTCAATCAAATTGGAACATTTCAGGGTGAAATCGTTGATGCACTTCAATTTCGATCAATGAAAATGGGACATTTTTCACAGCGAAGGAACCTTAGTTTCTATGGTTAAATTACGAATGTTGTAGGGGACAGTGGGGCAAAATGAAACAGACGAGAAGCGACTATTAGACGCAATTCAAGCAAAAAAAATTATTTTTTAATTCAATTTTGTTTATCAACTTTTTTTATTATTGGGAGTACTGATGAGGATAATAATTATTCTATTCGTCTTATAATTCAATTGATCAGATTAGACCGATTACCCTTTCCGTTTTTCATTCGATTGAAATTCAGCATGACGTTTTCCTTTTTCCCCCTCTGGGTCTTGCCCTGGACTTTGGATTTTGTTGTTTCATTTTCTTTCCAATTAATTCATTGACAAAATCTTCTCCCATCAAAACATCTCCATAATTTTCCATTCTACTGACAGTACTCCCAAGAATAAAGAAAAGTTAATAAACAAAAACTAAAAAAATAAATAAATAAGAAAAAAATTGTTGGCTTGAGTTACGTCAAACAGTCATTTTTCGACTGTTTCATTTTGTCCCATTCTCCCCTAAATTTTTTTTGTGATTTTTACACCTGAAAAAAAAATGGTAATTTTTTTTATCCTTTTCGAGGCGGTCTAATGTGCATAAAGTGTTTATTTCCCGCACGACGTGCCAAGTTTAATGCACGAGAATTTACTTTACGTCTGACGTCTGAACTTTACGCACTCCGCGCAAAAAACAAAATAATTCACCCTCACTGCCCTCCTGAAAAGTTGAACCCATCAGGTATTACAAAGAATAAGGTGTATTACACGTACTATTGCTGAATAAAATTGTTAAAGTACTTGGAAATCTTCGAATTAAAATTTTTTATTAATTCTTAGAAGATCTCGATAATAACATAGAACAAATTCAATTTTTGATCGAAATTTGTTTTACGTTCTAGTGAGACGAAGTCACTTTTGGAGGCACAATTTTTTTTCAATTTGGCGATCGGATGAAACTGTCAACGGATTATCAAAGATATATATTCTAAACTTGATAATTTTCTATTTTGAAGATTTCGGGGGTACCTTTTCAGTGCCAATTGCACCAGAGATGAAATTTCTTTACAGAATTTTGTTGGCTATAACAACTATTTCTTGACTTTTCATCGTGCAAATGCTCGTTACCAGAATAGTTTAACAATTAGAGAAATAAGTTGAATTATCAATCAAACTGATGGATAACTGCGGATCTAATGATTTGTTTTTCAGTTTTCCGAGTCTTCAATTACGCGACTTGGCAAATCACATTGTGGAATTCAGCCAGGACCAGCATGGCTCTCGGTTTATCCAACAGAAGCTTGAACGAGCGACAGCCGCCGAGAAACAACTTGTTTTCCAAGAGATTCTGGCGTCTGCTTATTCATTGATGACCGACGTTTTTGGGAATTACGTGATACAAAAGTTCTTCGAATTCGGTACACCAGAACAAAAATCAACGCTTGCACAAAAGGTATGCTTATGTTGAAATTTTATCAAAGAAAATTTCTCATTGAGTTTAATGGTGAAGTTGTGAATCGACGTTTCCTAATAAAACAAGGGTATTTCAATTTTATTTTTAAAATAAGGGTCTCCCATTTCATATGAAAAATCGTCTGAAATCTCACGTTTCCCTTCTTTTGACAGCTGTACAAATGGTATGAATGCATCAAAAAGTACAAATAACATGAAGTAGTTCGTATTGGAAGAGAAATAAAATAATTTGCGAGCTCCATGAAACTTAGAAATAGATGTGAACAACAAGCATTCACATGATTTTTTAGATACTCTAGTTTTAATGCGAATTCTGAGATACCCTTGTTTTAAAAAGAAAATTGAAATACCCTTGTTTTATTAGAAGATGTCGAAATGGAGATGAAGAGTTGAACAAGAATATCCAGATTGAACAAGTTCTGTTCAATCCAGAACAGTTCTGAAGAACTGAGTTGAACAAGAATACCACTTTTTGTAATTTTACGAAAAAAAATGTTTAAAACCTTTTTTGATGTTTCTGTCATTATAACAAATCGGTTTGGTATTCTCTAAAACTAGCTCATTTAATTGACTACGAAAAAATCTCAACACTTTCCTCCAACAAGGAAGCTCACTTTTTCCTGTGATATTCACACGAACTGCGAAATTCAATAACTCATCTCCTCTCAGTTGTACCGTTTACCGCATCCATCAAATTAGTTCGAATTTTGAATAACCGAAAATGATGAATTCTTGCGTGTCATCTGAACTTTCAAACAACCCTTGATGTCAACGAAGACAGTGACCAACTGATTTCTAAGAAAAGACAAAAAAAATCCATAACGTGTTTTTTCGCCTCGAAATATCAATTTCACTCAAATAAAAATTGATTTTAGGTACGAGGTCATGTGCTACCCTTGGCACTTCAAATGTATGGTTGCCGTGTTATCCAAAAGGCTTTGGAGTCAATTGGACCGGAACAGCAGCAAGAAATCGTTCGTGAACTGGATGGACACGTATTGAAATGTGTCAAAGATCAAAATGGCAATCACGTAGTGCAGAAATGCATCGAGTGCGTTGAGCCACGTGCACTGCAATTCGTTATCGGTGCATTTGCCGGACAGGTTTATTCATTAAGCACACATCCGTATGGTTGTCGTGTTATCCAACGCATTTTGGAGCACTGTACACCAGAACAAACACAGGGAATACTGCAGGAATTGCATTCAGCCACTGATCAGCTAATTCAGGATCAGTATGGCAATTATGTCATTCAACATGTGCTTGAACATGGAAAAATTGAGGACAAGGCGCAGTTGATCAACAGCGTTAGGGGCAAAGTTTTGGCATTATCACAGCACAAATTTGCCAGTAATGTCGTAGAAAAGTGTGTTACACATGCTACAAGACAGGAGCGGGCCGTTCTCATTGAGGAAGTTTGTGGATTCAATGACAGGTGAGTAGCCCTTTTCCTGGTAAAATTTCCCTTATTTACCGATAATTATGGAATATTATCACTACAACGAGAGCGTATCGGAGAAAATATTAAAAAGCGTTGTTTGCGGGAATTTTAAACTTATCAGGTTCAAAGATATTTGTCGAATAATCTGTGGAACATTTCTTGATTATGCGAGTTGACCAGTGGATTCTATTGAAAACATTGTAAGATTTTTTGGGTAGCTCCAGAAATTTTCCGCAAAAGCTCTCTCCTAAACCTCTTCGTTATCAAAGTAGTTGTAGGAAACTCAATAAAAACCCAAAAGCCTCATCGACTTTTAAAACCCTAACAAGAACATTTTTTCTCTATTCCAGTGCATTAAATGTGATGATGAAGGATCAATACGCCAACTATGTAGTTCAGAAGATGATCGATGTAGCCGAGCCAGCTCAACGCAAAGTACTGATGCATAAAATCCGACCCCACCTTAATAGTTTACGTAAATACACCTATGGAAAGCATATAATCGTGAAACTTGAGAAATTCTTTATGAAGACAGCATCAGCAATGGGTGTGTCGACTCCAGCTGGGGCTAACTCAGGCACGGGCGATCTGGGCCCCATCGGACCACCAGCCTCTGTTGCGGGTCCTGTACAGACGACTGCTCAGCAGCCAACACAGGTCTTATAAATTAAGAATTCCCCAAAAACGTCACAACTAATTCATCGTAACACTCGAAACGTGAATTTTAAACTTTTGAAATATTAAATAAAACACCTTCAGAGGTATTTCCCATGTATCTGAAACTCTTGTCATGATGAAAATACTTTTGTTTGATTGAAATTAATTATCACTAAAACTCCAAATTGTGAAGAAAAAAAGTTGACGTAAACGAACTTTTCATCATTGCGAGTGTTGCACTGATCTCGAAGGGATAAAGAGAAAACAACTCCTAATAACAACGATTTTTTTCACCGTTATTTGCTTAATTTAATGATTACTCATTTTTAAGACAAAAAAATCATGGGAGTGATGAATTTAATTGATTCTTCAGCTAAACTGAAAAATCTCGTTGTTGAACCACATGAACGATAATGAGTGATCGATCATCGTAGAAATTTTATTTCACAAAACAAAAGTTTTCTTTTCTTCCCATTTTTTGCTTATTAAAATTTCCAAAATAGATAATTATGAGGTTTACGAAATTATAATTTAGTATGATGAGGAGAAGTTAAATTTTACTTTTTCTTTTAATTTGAAAAATGAACAATAAAAAGAGTATCCACTTTTAGTTTGAAATCTATCAAAACAACTGATTATTCTTTCGTAATAAATCTCAAAGAAAAATCCCTGGAAATATATTGATAGAAAAAGCAAAAGTATAGTGAACGAAAATTTCGAGAAATGAAAAAAAAAAGAAAAATAACAGTTTAATGAAAAATTGAAAACCACTCTGAAACAAAGTGAGGAACTGCATCCCCCTCCCAGCCCACCCTCCCTATTGTTCACCCCCATTATTTCCCTATTACCGCAAATTTTGTAAATTGTGATATAAATATTGAATAACGAAATGTGTATAGATACGACAAAACCATCTCCCCTTTCTTTCATTAATTAAATTTTTTTTAATTCCATCCCCCCCCCGTCCATTCATTTCAACAGACTCTGTGAATATTATGTATTATAATAATTACAAATTAATTGAATCTAAAAAAATGGAAGAAATGAAAAACAACATGATGAGAGAGAAAGCACTCAAGAAAAAAAAATCATCACTGAAAAAAATTTGTTTTCATTGTTTCGATTTTTCCTTTGATCTTTATACAAAGATTGATAGTTCAAAGATATTCTCTCGTCCACATCGGATCGATCCCCCCCCCCCCCCCCCCCCCCCCCC